AGCCAGTCATCTCAGCCTGTCCCCCCTCCCTCCCAGATGCCAGGGTCACCTCCCCTGTCTCCTCTCCATTCCCACACTCCCCCAGGGCCTCCGTGCCCCCTGCACCCCTTTCCCAAAGAGGAGAAACACTCAGCACGTGTCTGTGTGGCTTCCTAACAGCCAACCCCAAATGTCAGAGCTGATGGCCCTGAGGAGGGAGCAGGGGCCCAGGGCAGGGAGTGGCCACTCCCCACAGCAAACAGTGGGAGAGACAGAAAGGTCTAGAACAGTGGTTCTCAACCTTCTGGCCCAGTGGTCGGCAAACTGCGGCTCGCGGACCTGCTGGCTTAGGCCTGTTCCCAGGTGGCAGAGGGCAGGCCCAATCCCTAGGTGCAGCCCCTGGTCGGGCTGAGAGCAGGGCTGATTGGGGAGTTGTGGCACCACCTCCTGTCATGCACAGAGCAGGGCGGATCGGGAGGTTGAGATGCCACCCCCAGTCAAGCTCAGGGTAAGGCCGATTGGGGGGTTGGGGCACCACCCCTGTCACACTCAAGGCAGGGTCGATGGGGAGGTTGTGTCTAGAAGCTCTGACCCTGCGTCCGCATCACCAGAACCATCAGGAGCGACAGCTTGTCTGGGCAACTTGACCCCACACTCAACTCAATCGCCCTGACTTGGGAGCCAAAGGCCTACTGACAGACAGACAGACAGACAGACAGACAGCTGTAGTAGCAACCTGGCACAAGCACATGGCATCCCCTGCTGCCTGAGGCGGCCCCAGATTGTGCTCATGAGTCACTCAGCTCCAGTCCTCATAGATTCCCAGAAATGTCTCTAGAGGGATCCCCAAATCCCCACCCTCCGCTCCAGTCTCTCCCCAGTGGCACATAGCCCCTCTGCTGGCCCCACCGCCCCTCCACCAACCCGCTCCCAGCCAGCTGTCACTCTGGCAACCATCTGACAAAGCCCCCAGCCCTGGCAGTGAGCACCAGAGGAAGTGATACGCGAGGAAGCTCTGAAAGGTAGGAAGCAGGGCTGCAGGTCAGAGACCACTACAGATGCTCACCCCGCGAGGCGGGCGGGCCTGTCCCCGGGCTGACCTTGCCCTCCTGCAGTGTGCTGGGCTAGGAGGCAGGAGCGTCCGTCTTGATTTAAACCAGAGACACCATGCCTTAGCCCCGACGAGGGCTCCACGGTGGTGGAACCCGGGGCAGGGTGAGGAGCGGGAAAGTGAGAAGGGGGCTGGGGCCGGGACTTCTCTCCCGGAGCCCGTGCTGAGGTTCCTCTCTGAATGCTGTCATGGAGCTCTGTCTCTTATATAAAAGGCTTGTGGCCGTCAGGCCGTCAAGACCAAATGAACAGTGGCTCTCGCGGGGGGCGGGGAGGGTCAGGGCAGGAGCTACTAGTGGTGGAGACCTATGAGCCGCAGAAGGCGGGGCAACGAGCTACTAGCAGCGATGGGTGAGGCAGCCACCTGAGCTACTTGCGCACTGGGCCTCTGGTAATTATA